GCCCCCCCCCCCCCCGTCTTGCTCAAATCAATTTTTTAAAAAACCACTCATATCGTTGCCCTCCCCTCCAATTTCTAACAAGCTCCCAAGTGATGCTTATCCTGCTGGTCTGGGCACCACACTGAGGACCTTGGTCATTCCAGTCCCCTTTCAGGGCTGGGTTAGGGCAGGGCATGTGGCCTCTGAGAACTTCCTTATTCCTATAGAGAACAACACAGGAAGGAGCGGATGCCTTTCCTGAAGGACATGGCTGTATCTAGATGATGCCCGCAGCTCTCAGCAGCTGTGGGGGCCGAGTTTATCCCGAAGAAGGCAGAGCAGAAAGAGGAAGAACTGGGGTCTCTAAACACCAACCTGGAGCAGCCCTATCTTGGAGCTTCTTGTTAGTGAGGTAATGGATTTCTCTTACTGTTCAAGCCATTTAAAGTCAGGTCTCTGTCACTGGCAGCTGAGAGCACCTCACTGATACATCCTCTGTATCAAAAGGTACCCAGTATAGTTCCAGTGGCTATTCCTCTTGTACAAAGAAATCAAATAAGTTAAATGAACTCTCTTGGCTGTTTTCTCTCCCTTCTCCCTACTCTCAGGCCCTTCCCTCCTACAAAACATTCACCGAGTGCCACTATGTGCTGGTCACCCACCAGGCATGGGGTGGTGTGGCCCCTGGAGCTTCCAATAGAGAGATGGCAGCAAACACAGAAACCCACACGGGAATGTGGTGATGACCACTTGTAGAGAGCGCCTCTGGGATCCCAAGGCTGAGAGAGTATATCATGGGAATCATCTTTAAGTTGTGGGGGTGCCCTGGTCAGTTTGGCTCAGTGGATAGAGAGTCTGCCCATGGACTGTGAGGATCCTGGGCTCCATTCCAGTCAAGGGCATGTACCCCGATTGCAGGCTTGATTCCCGGCCCTGGTAGGGGATGTACAGGATGCACCTTTAGGGGTATTTACACCTCAGAGACTGACAAGCACTGAAACCCAGGGTTTTATTTTGAGAGCTGGTTGTAAGCATCCAATAGTTCACCTCTCGGTAAGGGTGACGAATCTCTTACCTTTCTGGCGGTACACATCTGATGTTCGTACACCTTGGAGGCTAAACCTGGGTAACAAAAGGACAATACAAAGAACAGATGATGGGCGTCCTTTCAACCCTCAGCAGGATCCCAGACATCTTGTGTTTTTGTTAATTGATTTTTTTAGAGAGGGAGGGAGAGAGAAACATCGATTGGTTACCTCCCATACATGCCCCAACTTGGGACCGAACCTACAACCTGAGTTAGTACCCTGACAGGGAATCGAACCTGCAGCCTTTTGGTGTACAGGACAATGTTCCAACTGAGCCACACGGCCTGGGTGACATCTTGTTTTGCTGCTGGCCCTACTCGCCACGCAGTCTGTGGCCACATGAAGGAATGCGGAGAGACACATGATGTCTGACCGAGTGGGGCTGGAATCGAAACCAGGTAATTGTGGCTTGAAACGGGTTTGGCTTGGACATGGGAGATCTTGTTCCTCCCAGCCCACTCGATAGGCAGAGGGTTTGAGCTGGACACATCTCTCCTCGGTTCCAGCAGCTGGCAGGGGAGAGGGCCCAGAGCAGGGATGAGGCACCTTCTGCCCACCAGTGCTGCTCATGAACTCTTCCTGTGTGCTCATGGGGTCTGAGAAGTCAGTGGAAGTGAAGGGCCCCAGGAAGGTGTGCATTCATGTAAGATGGGGAATAGGCACTGCAAACAGGAGGAGGAAGGCAGACAAATTGGAGGCCAGTGTCAGTAAGTACAGGAGGAAAAGGATTCTTTTTTTCCAGCTTTGAGATATAACTGACATACAGTACTGTATAGTATACACAGTAATGATCTGACTTACATGTATTAGGAAACAACACAGTTAACATCTTTCATCTTTTGTTGATACAAAAAAAAGAGAGAGAGAAAATAAAGTAAAAACTTGTAGTGTGAACTCTTAGGATTTACTCTTTGTTTTGTTAATCCTCACCTGAGGGTATTTTTTCCATGGATTTCTAGAGAGAGTGGAAGGAAGCGGGGAAGACAGAGAAACATCGATATGAGAGAGACACAATGATTGGTTGCCTCCTGCACGAGCCCCAACTAGCCCTGGAGATTGAGCCTGCAACCAAGGTATGTGCCCTTGATCGGAATCAAACCCGTGCCCTTCAGTTTGAGGGCTGATGCTCTACCCACTGAGCCAAACTGGCTAGAGCAGGATCTGCTCTTAACAGCTTTCAAATACACCATTTAGCTGTGTTAACCAATGTCATCATGTTGTACATTAGATTCCTTGAACTTACTTATCTTATGATGGGAAGCTTGTACATTTTGACCACCTTCATTCAATTTCCCCTCCTCCCATCCCCCACAGCGATTCCTTTTTTGAGAGCCAGCTCACACTTGGGAATGATTTGAATGCTGGTACGAACTTCCTGAAAAAATATACTTAGGGATCTCCAGGGTGCCCAGAACAGTGTTGGATAGGTAGTAGCACACAAGACCCAGGAGCTGCCTGGCCCCAGACTGATCCCACTCCCATCCTGGCAGTCCCTCCCAACCCCCACCCCCACCTGAACCCCAGGATACCAAGGCTTGGGTTGAAGAATTCTCCCACAACAGCACCCCCAGAGTCCTCTCTGCCAAGCCCCCCTTTGCCCTCTGCTGGAATGGTCTCCCAGCCTTGGCCTCCCGAAAGTACAAGGGGCACCCAGCCATGTGCTGGGTAAGTGCACTGGCTCAGAAGACAGGCTGCCTGGTTTCAAATCCTCCCTCTACCACTCATCAGCCTGGTGCTCTCAGACACCTTATTTACCGCTACAGCCTCAGTTCCTTCTCTGTCAAGTGGGGATAATAGCTGTGTCTGTAACTCACAAAATTACCGTGAGGATCAAATAGTTACATATATAAGTAGCACAGTCCACAGCACACCGAAATGCTCCACATTAGCTACAATTACTATTAGTCTCAAAAGAACAGTCCTCACACCCTCTCCTCTCCTTGGAAGTGAAGAACATAATGACTCTACTTCCCAGAGTTGAGAAGTCTCCTCCCCTGCAGAGGACAAGTGCTTAGTAAAATACAACCTGATTACAACCATATGTGCAGAAACCAACCCAGCTGCAGGAAGAACAGACTGGCCCCCACTACAGAGAAAAAGTTAAACTGTGCCCCCCCCCCTAAAAGTGCTACATTTATCATCAATGAAAGTAACTTAAAAAATGGTATTTACCAAATTTCAAAACAGAAATGACTATATTAACTGATTTTAACATTTCTTAACTCACCTTGTCAGCATTTCATTTACTGCATTTTTTAAGGAGTTTTTTGTTTTGTTTTTTAAATTTATTTTTTTTACAGAAAGGAAGGGAGAGGGATAGAGAGTTAGAAACATCGATCAGCTGCCTCTTGCACACCTCCCACTGGGGCAACCAAGGTACATGCCCTTGACTGGAATTGAACCTGGGACCCTTCAGTCTGCAGGCCGACGCTCTATCCACTGAGCCAAACTGGTCAGGGCCATTTACTGCATTTTTTAAAAACTCACCATAAATTGCGTTTTCACGTAAGTTTAACTTTAAAAAATTGACTTCATAATATTTAAGCCCAGAATCAAGCTCTGGTGATTTGTCCATGTCAGTTAACATATGCAGATAGATTGTGCAGGAACAGAAAGATGAGAGGCACACTCAAGTAAACATGCGCTCCTGCAGTCTGCTCAGGGAGCCTGGCTTGCGCTTCCTTCCTGTAGTAACTTGCTTGTTGCCCAACTGAAGGCCTGTTTCACAGACTGTCCACCAGAGGGCAGGGAGGGACTGGCGCGTCAAGCTCGGGACGATAGAAGGGATCCTAGTGACAGAAATTCATACTCTCCAGCCCCTGCACAGCTGCTCTTTTCATTTAATGTTTCTCTTCTTTTTCCCTCTCCCCTTCCCCAGGGCTGAGAAAGAGAAAGGGGAAAAAACCAACAAATGTCCTTTGATGAAAATAAGAGGTCACTGATTTATGATGAAGACTGTATTTAAAAATGTCTTTTGGGCCCTAACTGGTTTGGCTCGGTGGACAGAGCGTCGGCCTGTGGACTGGAGGGTCCCAGGTTCGATTTCAGTCAAGGGCATGTACCTTGGTTGCCGGCACATCCCCAGTAGGGGGTGTGCAGGAGGCAGCTGATCAATGTTTCTCTCTCATCGATGTTTCTAACTTTCTATCCCTCTTCCTTCCTCTCTGTAAAAAATCAATAAAATATATATTTTTTAAAAAAGTCTTTTGGGAACCAAGATGGTGGCATAGGTAAACGCCTGTACTCACTGCCTCCTACAACCACATCAAAATTGTTTCAGGATTTCAGAGCAGGAGAAATAGAGAAACTGAGACAGGAAAGTTAAAACCAAACCAAACAGTGTGGGCAGTTTGCAGCTAACAAGCCATTATCTTCCCCAGCTGAGGACACAGAGCAAATGGAAACACCTCCCCTAATGAGCGGATGCAGAAAGGCAAGGGGAAAGGGGAAGGAAAAAAAGGGCCATTTTACTCTCTAAGCAGAGAAGCCAGCAGTCTTAAGGCTTGGTAAGATAAAATTGCCAGGTGCTTTTCATGAATTCTGGGAAGGCCACAACACAGTAAAAAAAAAAAGGGGGGGGGGGAAATAACTTACCGAAATAGTCAGCAGAGGAATTCTGAAGCCTACAGGCAGGAGGGTGGGTAATAAAGCGCCTCAGACCCCCATCCAACTTGCTCTTTAGTGAGCTGAGGGCCCGTCTGTGCTTCCGAAGTCAGATACATGTGTTTGCCTGCTTTGCTTCTCCTTTTTCAATAAAGATGCATGCTTTCATAAGCTGGCTTTTCACAACACAGTCACGGTCTCCCCTATAAACTCATTTATATAAGACAAGGATCAAGGTTGGGGCAGCCTGCTCCCACTGGCTTAGGAAGCTGACTTGTCCGATAACGCCTCTCTGGTGTCAGTGAGAGGTGTCTACAACAGAATTACAACTGAAATACAGACCAACCATCATTCAGAACCGCCTGAAAGCTGGCTGAGTGGAATTCCTACAACTAGAAGTAAAGAAAGCACCTTGAGGCTGGTGGGAAGGGTGAGGCACAGAGCAGGCTGGTCCGACACCGTCCAAGAGGAGCAAGGGTCCCAGCCCCACACCAGACCCCAAGCTCAGGTTTCCAGAGCTGGGAAGCAAAGTCCCCACAGCTACGGGGATTGTGGCTGAGTGATACGACGCCTCTGGAGACCCAGGTGTTCCATTTAAAGGGCCAGTGCACAAACATAGAACTTACTTGGACTCCCAGCACCGGGCAGCTCTGAGGGACACGGGGTCCTTGTTCCTGTGCTAGGACTGCTCATGTTGCAGGGCTGACTGGCAGCCATATCCGAGTCTCCATAGCCTGGAACACACTGTGTGCCTGCCCTGGTGATTCCCTGAGACCACGCCCATCCAATTTCCAGCCCCCTCAGCTGTTTGCAGCAGCTTTTCCACATGAATGGCCTGTCCTGGCTCAAGCCTCAGACTGCTAACATCTCTCAAACAAGCTGTAGCTGGTGACAGCATGCCCCAAACCTATCAATAAAAGGCCCATGACCCAGCTCAGGTGACTGGGAAAGCTGAGCCAGTGGGCTCTACCACACAAGGCAACTCTACCAATTTCAGGAGACATAGCAGCCCAGGCTGTGTAGCTAAAGAGTAGTGGGTGTGAAGATGTACAAACAGGAAATAGTTATTGAGCACTGTCTAGAGCCAGGCATTATTCTAAGGACTCTACAAGGAGTAATTTATTTTTAAAATAATTTTTTCCCTTTAAAATTTTGTTTATATTGATGTTAGAAAAAAGGGAGAGGCAACAATGTACATGCACTCCCCACCCCCCAAAATGCACCCATGTGCCCTGACCAGAATCAAATTGGTAACCTTTCAGTGAACAGGACGACGCTCAACCAAATGAGCCACACATGCCAGGGCTGGAGCAACTAATTTAAACCTCACAGTAACTATGAGACAGATTCTATTATCATCATCCCATTTTCAGAAGAGAAAGCTAAGGCAGAGGGAAGCTTGCCCAAGGTCATGCAGCTGGGACGTGGTGGAGCCATTTGGCTCTGCTGGCTGGTGAGGTAAGCAGGGAAGGGCCAGACACAGTCATGTCTCATGTCTGTGTCATGACAGAAGGAGCTAGAAAAGGGCTCTAAGTACAGATGGAACTTCAGATGCGTACTTTAGAAAGCTCCCTCAGACTGCTGTGTGAGGATGGATTCAAGAGGCACCAGTGACAGTGATGGCAAACTCAGCAAAGCAGACACTGGGAGTAGAGAGAGGCAGACTGGAAACATGAACAGAATCGGCATGATGGAGCTGAAGCCGCAAACCACAGTCTGATGAGTCATACCCACTTCAGAAACGAATCACTGACAGCACGCATCATCTGCACATTCAAAGAAAGATATTTCTGAGACATATACTTAGAATAATTTATATATTTAACCACTTTTTCCTGTGAAGAAGTTTCCTGTGACACCAATAATCTTTGCCACTAGTTTAAAACTACCAATTGGGGTGTGGGGGTGGTGGTGGTGAGAGATCGACCAAGGACTTGTATGCATGCATTTAAGCATAACCAGTGGACAGACAGTAAGGGGGTGAGGGCATGTGCCGGGGGGTGGGAGCAGCCAGGGAGAGGTCAATGAGGGAAAAAGGAGACCTATGTAATACTTTAAACAATAAAGAATTTAAATTAAAAAAAACGAAACTCTACCAGTTCATGTACAAATGCAGTTAGCTTTTTCCTTGGTTGCTGTCAGACATGAGCTTTAATCAATTTATTATGCAAAAATCACACAGTGCACAGCACATCCCAGGCTGGAATTCTGGACCAGGACAGGCACTGGTCAGTCTGGCATCTAAGAACATTAAGAACTGTCAATCACGTCTCCTCTCAGCCCCATGGACTGACACCACATGTGGCACGGCTACTGGGGTGCCGATGGTACCTGTAGCAGACCCAGCTTTCTTCTGAAGTGCTAACTGGTCTTCAACCAGGGCCCCACCAATACCACCCCAAACCAACCGCCTCTTCTGGAGGGTCCTGATTTATAACGAAACGTAGAAAGGGGATAGCCTTATCTGCTGGCTTTAGCTAAACGGGAATGGCTGTTTCTCAGAAGGTCTGGGAGTCTGTGAGGACAGAAAAGAAACCCTCAGTTTTGGAGGACAAGGCAGAGGTCACAAATGATAAGCTTCAGTAGGACCACATTTCTGTGTTCTTAAGTCTGAGAGAGGACAGCTGCAGAAATCTTTGCCCCAACAGGTCCAATGAAAAGAAGATGCCCTCTTAAGATGCCTTACTGATTAAGATGGCAAGGGCAGGGTCTGTGTGAACTGAGAGCCCAGCGAGGTCAGTCATCTTCCAGTCACTCTTGGGTGCATCATATAAATTGCCCTTCTAGTCAAGCTAATATTTTCATGAAACATATGCTGTTGCCCTGGTTGGTGTGCTCAATGGTTAGAGCATCAGCTACACACCTAAGGGTTGTAGGTTTTATTCCCAGTCAAGTGCATGCACCTGGGTTTCAGGTTCAATCGCTGGCCCCTATCTGGGCACTTGGATGTTCCCCCCACCTTTTCCCTCTCTAAAAATCAATGGAAAAAAATATCGAGTGAGGATTAACAAAAAACAAACAAACAAAACTAAGTTGTGGAGCAATCCAGGGTTTAAAATCTCTCTTTGGATCACTGATGATAATAAATTCGCTTTTATTATGGAGAGACTTCTGGGTATAAGTACTGGTTCTTGGAGATTGAGGACTTTTAATGACTTGGGAGAGGGTCAAGTATTTGCATATATCTTAAAAGTCTATAGTCATACATGTCATATATTGAGCCCTTTCTATGTAGAAACCAGCCATGAGTAAGTTCTATTTAACCAAATGAGGAGAAGGATGTTCTAGGAAGGAAAAGCTGTAAGTGGAAGAAGCAGGTGGCACGGATGGGGGATAGCGGCAGCACTCAATGCAGAAAAGCTTATGTGCATGTGTGTGTGTGTGTGCAGTGCATGCAAGTGTGCATGTGTCGTATGCCCATCACCCTGACCACAGCTGGAGAGATGGGAGGAGCCGAGGAGTGAATGGTCTTGTATGCTGAGCTAAGGAGCTTACATATGATTCTGGAAGCAACCCTGAACCAATTAAACATTTTAAGCAGAAGGACCTGCTCAAATATGAGCTGTAGACTTGAGGGAGGGGGCGAGACTGAGGCTGGAAGGCCTATGTGGAGGCGGGTACAGCAATCCAGTGAGATGATGAGGGCGTGAACGAAAGCACTGGCACAGGAGGGAAAGGAGATTGAGGAGCGAGGCTGGAACCAATAGGGCTTCGTGGTGCCTGGAAGTGAAAAGGAAGGAGGGGTCAATGAGAACTCCCAAACCTCTGGCCTAGAGAATGGGTAGACAGTGGTATTTTCAACTAAGTTAGGGGCGACAGAGGGAGGACAGATCCTGCTTCCATCGCACTGAGCTTGATTGGTTCTGTAGGACACCATGTGGAGGTTTCTAGTATTAAACTACTGGAGACAGAGATGTGAAGCTCCGGAGAGAGATGACTTGGGAATGTTCATTTATTCCAAAACTACTATTGAGTGTCTGTGACAGGCACCACGATAAGCAATGAGTAGCTAGCTCAGTGGTGCGGAAGAGACCCAGGAGCACATTGGGCAGAGGGACTTGCCATATGACAAAGGGAGCTCCATAGAGCAGTGGGGACGGATAAACTGTTCAGTTGACAATGATTAGGAAAACTAGAAAAACCAGACTGGCTGAGACCACCACCCTACACCTTAATCCAGACAGATTAAAGATTTTAAGTAGAGAGTAAAATGATAAGATGGGTAACAGAAGAAAACATTGGAGATTATCTTTGTGACCTAGGTGTGAGTATAACCTTTAAACAAGACTCCAAAAGCACAAAACCGTAAGAGGGGAAATGTAATCACATGAAAATTAAGGGTTTAAAAACCAGATTAATCAAAACTTAATTTATTACGACTGTTTGAGGGATGCTGAGTTAGTCTGGAGGCTGAGAAAGGAGTCATGAGGATCCATACAGCTTGTGAGGGGTCACCCGGGATTACTGCATTTCTCTTTCTGCTTCATCCTCCTGGATAAAGTACAAACTATAATCTGTGGGGCTTTTTATTTGATTAAAGATTTCTAGTCCTCAAAGGACATTACAAAGTTAGTACCTAACAGACAGAAAAAATATTTCCTTCTTCAGTTTAAAACGGACAAGAGATTTTTTTTTTTTATTCCTCACCAGAGAATATTTTTTCATTCATTTTTAGAAGACAGTGGGAGAGGGAAAGACAGAGAGAAACACGTGGATTGGTTGTCTCCTGCACGTGCCCAGACCACGGCCCGGGCTGGGGAGGAGCCTGCAACTGAGTGCCCTTGACCAGAATCGAACCCGGACCCTTTAGTTCCCAGGTCAATGCTCTATCCACTGAGCCCAACCGGCCAGGGCAAGAGATTGATTTCTATATTATACCAAGGACTCCAGAAAAACAAGATAAAAAAAACCCAATTAAAAAAAGGGGGGGGCGGGGTTCTGGAAAAATAAAAAAGCAGCTCGCAGAAGAGAAGCCAAAATGACTAACAATTATATGAGGAAAGGCCCAAACCTATGAGGAAATCAATGACATGCAAATTCAAACAATAATAAATATCTCTTTCACAGTTTCAGAATAGCAAATGTTAGAATGGTGGATACCCAGTGATGGTGAGGATGTAGGAGATGGGAACATTTCTGGAAAGCAATTTGACAAAAGACAGGTGGGTGTAAATCCTTCGACCCAGTAATTCCCCTCCATTACAGACCTCAGAAATGCTAGCACTGGGCCATTAGGAGATGTACAAGGACATGCACCTGGGCATAATTTGTGGAGGCAGGAGTTCGAGGCAAAGTGTCCATAAGAGGCAACGAATAAGAACTGGATGCTTATGGATTGACAAGCAGCGCTGTAAAGCTCTGAACCATATGCACTTACAGGACATGGTAAGATCATTTTAAAAAATGGTGTTGACTGCTGGTGGGAATGCAGACTCGTGTAGCCATTATGGAAAACAGTATGGAGCTTCCTGAAAAAATTAAATATGGAACTGCCATTTGACCCAGTGATCCCACTTCTAGGACTATATCCTAAGAAACCCAAAACACCATCAAAAAGAATGTATGCACCCCTATGTTCATGCAGCACTATTTACAATAGCTAAGATCTGGAAACAGCCCAAGCGCCCATCAGTAGATGAGTGGATAAAAAAGCTATAGTACATTTATACCATAGAATACTATGCAACAGTAAAAAAGAATAATCTGTTACTCTTTTGAGACAGCATGGAGGGACCTGGAGAGTATCAGGCTAAGTGAAATAAGTCAGAGAAAGACAAGTATCTCATGATCTCACTCATATGTGGAATCTAATTAACAAAATAACTGATGAACAGAGTGGATCCAGAGACATGGAAGCATGGAACAGAGTGTAGAATCTTGGAGGAAAGGTGGGGGAGGTTGGGTGGGTGGGAGTAATCAATCAAAGACCTTGTATGCATATATGCACAACCCATGGACACAGATAACAGAATGGTGAAGGCCTGGGGTGGGGGGCAAGGGCAGGCTGGAGAGGGCCAATAGGGGAAAGAGGGGGACATATGTAATACTTTCAACAATATATTTTTTTAAATAATTTTTTAAATGGTGTTGACCCCACAGTGCCCTTCAAATTAGATGTGTGTTTACTATGTGTTATATAATTTGTGGTTCCTTTTACCCAACATGCCTACTCCAACTTTTTTTCCTCTAATCAAGCACATCCTGGGATCCAATGTATAAATCCAGTATTGCATGTCTTGTGCATAATTCTAAAAGATATTATTTTGTGTATTATACGTATCAGAATAGTGTACACTGCCATTTAATATAAAGGGAGTCTACAAATGAATGCAGCCAACTATGCAAGTTCACACCAACTAAAATACCAAATAGCCCTAGCCAGCTTGGCTCAGTGGATAAAACATCAGCCTGCGGACTGAAGGGCCCCAGGTTCAATTCCGGCCAAAGGTACATGCCTGGGTTGCGGGCTCGATCCCCAGTAGGGAGTGTGCAGGAGGCAGCCAATGATTCTCTCTCATTATTGATGTTTCTATCTCTCTCTCCTCCCTTCCTCTCTGAAATCAATAAAGAAATATATTTTAAAATGAATAAAACACCAAATAAACCTTGCACAGTGAAAAAAGGTGTTAAGTGAAAAAAGATATGTAGCACAATTATCATTCATATAAACTTAAAACATACACACACAAAACAACATATTGTACAAGAAAACAAAGATAATCAAATGTCACTTCACTGCACTAACACAGACCTCTTTCCCCACTTCTATTCCTTTACCCTGATTATTTTTATTTACGGCACTAGAATGTCTATTCCATGAGAGCAACAACTGTTCTGTCTTGATCACTGTTATATCTCAGCTTCTAGAACAGAGCCTGGGACATTGTAGGTGGTTGATAAATATTTGTACATGAATAAATGAATAAATGGAGGGCATACAGGCAAGAGAAAAGAAAGCAGGGCCTATGGGGAGAGGAGAGGACAAAAATGAGTAGGGAAAAATCAATCAATCAAAGGAGGGATCTTGCCTGCACATATAATGGTGTGTCATAAATGGCCCATAAAAATAATTATTTTATCAAATTCAATACTACTGAAATTAGACCAGCCGTGGGCAAACTACAGCCCGCGGGCCGGATCCAACCCGTTTGAAATGAATAAAACTAAAAAAAAAAAAAAAAAAAGACCGTACCCTTTTATGTAATGATGTTTACTTTGAATTTATATTAGTTCACACAAACACTCCATCCATGCTTTTGTTCCGGCCCTCCGGTCCAGTTTAAGAACCCATTGTGGCCCTCGAGTCAAAAAGTTTGCCCACCCCTGAATTAGACCCTAGATCAGGGGTCCTCAAACGACGCCCGCGAAAACATTTATCCGGCCCACCAGGTGTGTTTGCTGCTGCTGCCTGTCCTACTTAGCAGCCGATGGGTCCCAGCCCGCAGCGCGCATGTGTGGAATGTCTGAGGGACAGTGAACTGGCCCCCGTTTAAAAAGTTTGAGGACCTCTGCCCTAGATGATAAGGATGTCACCTGTCTGTCCAGCCTTCTGATTTTAATCCCCCTCTGATCATGATGTTGTAGCCAAGCAGGCCTCTGCCAGTTCCCAGAATGCCCTGACCATCTTGGGGCCTTGGCACAAGCTGTACCCGTTGCCTAGACACTTTCTCTAGTTCTCGCTCTCACTGTTCAAGTTTCCGTTTAATGTCACTTCCTCAGAGCGGGCGCCCCTAACCAGCCTAGCTCATGTGTTCCCCCCCCCCCCCCCAAGCTGCTCCTATCACCTCACCTGTTCATTACCTGACCCAGCTGTGATTGTTTTGTTTACTGAGTGTCTCTACCCACGGAATGTAAGCGCCAGTAAGGGCCCTGTCTGCTTCCCCAGCACCGGACACATGCCTGGCAGAAGAGGCACTCAGACATTTCTCAGGGGCCCGGCCGGGTGGTCAGCGGTTGAGTCGACCTATGAACCAGGAGGTCACGGTTCAATTCCTGGTCAGGGCACATGCCCTGGTTGCCGAAGATTTTAAAATTGATTTTGAGAGAGAAAGGGAAAGGGTTAGGGTCAGATCCGCTGCCTCCTGCCCATCCTCACCGGGAATCAAACCCACAAGCCCTTCCCTGCAGGGGAGGCCGCCCAAGCGACTGCATCACACCTGCCGGGGCCAGAGCACAGGTGTGGGGACTCGGGGCCGGGCAGAGAGCGGGCTTTATCGAGCCGCCTCCAGTAATAACGGTGTTTCATCAACATGCTGGGTGGTGGGATCCCGGGCAGAACGCTTAAGTGTCCAATAACGTTAGAGTACTGTTCGTGGAAAATAAAAATCAGGAAAAATGTTTCTATGGTATGTTTCTATGGTAATACACAACCACCCAGTGAATGTATTATTGTTCCCGTAATACAGTTCTAATGCTTTATATGTAGTAGGCACTATCTAAGCGCCTTTCGTGTACTTAATTCTCAAAACTACCCGCTGAGGAAGGTCTACTGTTGCCATTTCACTGATGAGAGACGGAGGCACAGAGCGGTCAGGTCTTGGTTCTGGTTCCGGAGCCGGTATCTTTCCCCTCGGCCGCCTTAAGTTTTGGTCCAAACCAGACCGGCTGGAGGGCGCGGGACCCAGTCGCTCCAGGTCGGCCCACAGCGCGGGGCCACCGCCCGCTCGGACCGCTGGTCCACACGCCTCCCACCCGGGGCCCACGTGACTGCCGTTTGCCTTTGCCCGAGCTGGTCTCGCGGGATTCACGTTCTGGCGGTCCAAACGCGCTCCTCTTTCCTCTCACCCGCCAACCTATTGAGATTTGCCCTCACCCCACTTCCTGCACCTTACCTCCCAGCGGCGACCAGCTTCTGGAGGAAAGTATCCACTGTGGTGTCGAGAAGCTTCATCCTCGAAATGGTAGTGTCAGGGGGCACGGGTTCGGGGGACGAGCCCTCCCGCCCTTTTTCCTCACAGCCGCTGCCAACGCTGGCGTTGCTAGCTTCGGCCATCTTAAAATGGAACCGCCAAATCTACCTGGCCAGGATGTCCCGCCCACCGGAGCCCCCGATTGGCCGCTCCCGGCATTGGGCGCGTCCGATTGGAAGCAGCGGAATGTCCGTCACCGAGCCGCCCACGGGGGGAGGGGAAACTGCTGGAGGACGAGGCTTGTGCACAGGTGAGTAGCGTGTAGTGCACTTTAGTACTTAATCCACAGGCCGGCAAAACAAGCGCCAGCCAAAAGCTCAGGGCTCAATACAAACTTTTAATTACACTTCAAAGACTTCGTACAGTGCAACAGTGAATGAGTGTTCGCAGTTAGTATTCACAAGAGTCCACTTTATCCAATGTTAACCGCGTCTATTTCATTCCCCGGTCCCTCAATAAGCCCATCAGCTTTCCCACCAGCTTCCCGTCTGCCTGGCCTCCGTAGTTTCTTCCAGTTTGGGCTCTGGACCGGCACATGAGAACTGCCAGCTGGTCCACTCCATGGTCCTGGGAAAACGGAAGCCCACTGTCCCAGTCCCACCAAGACATGTTTTATTCGAACCCAATTAGATAGGGAAGTAGGGGCAGGGGTTCCTTTCACTAAAAACAAAAAAAACCTCATCATCCTTTGTAGTGTGTGTGTGTGTGTGTGTGTGTGAGAGAGAGAGAGAGAGAGAGAGAGAATGAGAATATGGGCAAATGGCTATGAAATACTGTACCATAAAATAAATCAGAAGGGAAGAGTCTGGGAAGGAGAACCATCCTAAGGCGTGAGGCAGGAGACGACCCCTGTCCGTGATACTTCACCCACTCTGCCCAGTGGGGACAAGCTTCAGGGAGGGGAAGGTGTGGGCTGAAAAACAATCTCCAAAAGGGTCACTAGAGTGAGTGGAAAGAGAGAAGGCTGTACTGGCTGGCGTGCTCAGTGGTTAGTGTCAGCCTGTGCACCAGAGAGTCTGGAGTTTGTTCCCGTCAAAGACAGGTACCTGGGTTGCAGGTTCAATCTCTGCCCCTGTTGGGGTGGGTGCGGGAGGCAACTAACTGATGTCTCATCAATGTTTCTCTCTCTCTCTCCCCCCTTTCTCCCCCTTCTCCACCCTTCCACTCTAAAAAAACAAACAATGGCCCTGACCGGTTTGGCTCAGTGGATAGAGCGTCGGCCTGCGGACTGAAAGGTCCCAGGTTCGAATCCAGTTAAGGGCATGTACCTTGGTTGAGGGCACATCCCCATTGGGGGGGTGGGGAGTTGCGGGAGGCAGCTGATCGATGTTTCTAACTTTCTATTCCTCTCTGTAAAAAATCAGTAAAATATATATATTTTAAAAAATCAATGGAAAAAAGACAGAGAAAGAAAGCTGGCTTCTGTTATGTTAGTGGTTCTTAAGGTAAAGGGGTGACTGAGGGGCAGGAAGATTCAGAATGATCTGTGGGCCTAACCCTTTGGATGACCGTTTGTGGGTGGGAAGGAATCTTGACAAAGTGCAAGAAAAAGCAAACCAAAATAAGGGAAAATAACCCTCAAAGATAAAAGACCAAGATGGGCAGTGTCAGTGGTGAAGGTAGAAAAATGTGTCTTTCAGATTCTGATCTGGCCAGGGCGATAGAATGTGGGGCAGCTATAAGAAACAGCAAGGCTTCAAAAGGTAGCTAGCACCTTTCAAACTGGCACCATGGCCCTTCCCAGGGGGTGGGACCAATACAAAGGTTTGAAGGATCATCCTGGCCACATGTCTCCAGGACAAGTGCAGGGTTTGATATGCCTTCTTCTCATCCTTTTTGCTGCACCTCTCTCGCCTGCAACACAGGCTTGGTAGACAAGGTCGGATGAGGCAGGGAAGGAACGCTCCTCACTCAGCTCCCGAGAGCATCAACAGGTAACCTCGGCAGTATCAGGCTGGTGTGTAGTGGTCCTGGTGTTGGGTGACTTCCTCACCCGCTCTCTTCCAAGCATCCCCCTCGAGCAGCGGTCGCCAACCTTTCGGACCTCACAGACCTCACGGACCAGCAGTGATCCGAGGACCACTGGTTGGCGACCACTACACGAGAGGGTGCCATGACCGGGATGACTTCACATTGGGGAGAAGAAAACACAGACAGTTCCACGTATCAGAGACTGGGACAACATTCGTTTCCGTGGGTCCAAGTGATTGGGATATGTATGTATGACAACTGCCCTCTCCTAGGCCTGGCTCAGCTGGTCTGGGAAATGGGCTGGGGCACACACCCCGTCTTGGCCTATCCAAGCCAGCTACTCTCTCAATCTGACTTTTCAGGGTAGTGCTCCAAGTCCCGTGTGCCCCCAGCAGCCTGATCTACTTAGAATTGTGCCTACCACTGTCATCGTCTGGGCCAGGGGAAGCCAGCAGCTTGTAAGTCCTGGGACTGCAGGGACATGGAAGGGATAGGGAACTGAGATTGAAGGAAAAGCTACATTGTATTTTTCTGAGGAAAGGGTGGGCTCTGACTGCAGGATTGGATAGGTACTTTAGCAGGACAAAGACAGTAACCTGGTTCACAGATGTTAAAACAATATAAACACACAAAATAAAATATTAACATTTCTCCCAATCTAATAACTCCGAAGAGAGGATGAGCACTCTGAAGCTTTTGCTGTGCCTACTCCCTGTGCAAAAGTGCTTGGCACCTTGCCCCCAGTGGCAGGAAAGAGCAGAGTAGTCTGGTGGGCAAATCAGTCCCAGAATAAAAATAAGCCTAAGAGACGAAGCAGGAAAAGGCTGATGGCAAACTGCTTGGAATCTGGGCTGACGGCCCAAGTGGAAGAACCAGTGGCAGTAAGCAAGCTCTATGTACAGCTCTTACCAGGATCTCAGGGACACGGAAAGGGAAACCAGAAGAAGGGTTAACGGGAATGGGACTAGTGGGGAGGGTGGGTTCCTTAGGGCAGGATGGAGTACAGGGACTGAGTGAGGGAGCCCGGTTGGGTAGGAAAACTAAATAATGGGGGCAGGAGATGCAGGTGTGGAGCCTCTTCAGCAAGAGCAGTTCAAAGTCTCAGTTCCTGTCCCTCCAGGGCACCTGGCCCAGGGCAGGGCTAGGTATGTGGTAGGGGCACTTGGAGCGGGTGCTATCTCCCTGCTCTGTCCCCTCCTGAGTCGCGTGGGAAACAGGCTTCTCTCCCACACTGTTACCAGTGTCTCGAGTCCACCAGCTCAGGTCTGAGGCTCAGTTTCTTGAGGCTCTCGTAGCCGACCACAATGACGATGGTGGAGGGCGTGGCTGAGATGATCCTGGCTGAGAGGCCCTTCATGAAGCCCCAAGGCCCCTCTTCTGCCATCAGCTGTCTGAAGGTCAGGATAATGGAGCTCTTGCCCTCAACCTGGAAAAGTCAACACAGGGGAGGGTCATGGTCTGCAGTCACCGCTCCTCTGCTCATTCTCCCTCTGCCTTAGGGAAAACTGCTCCCCAATTTGCTAACAGCATAACCTCAGCAATTTAACTCACTCTTTGCACTTCAGTTTCCTTTAATACAAAACAGTGATAGCCCTGTGCCACGTGGTTCTGAGCGGTAAACAAAAGAAGACTTATAAAAGTGGAGAACAGGACCTGGCAGACAGTACGTGTTCAATAAGCATTAGTCATTACTGTCATTAGATAAACTACAGGCGATGAGCTTTGGACTGGGTGCTTTTCTCTGGTCTCTGGGTGGCTGATTCAATCACCTCTAAGGCCCTCTGCAGCTCTGCCCATCTGTGATTCTGACTCTGATCATCTCAATCCCTCTGAACCCCCATGGCTGGAGTCCCTCCCCTGACTGTTGTTTCCCAGACACCTATCTTCCCTATCACATTGGAAGCCTGGCTAAGGCAGGAATCTTTTCTTTCTCAACAGTCCTGCCCCCTCCATCTCCCCATAAATCCTGCCACCAAACTATATCTTTAGATACCACCCACTCAGATCCTCAGTCAAGGCAGGACAGGTGCACTCCTTGTTACACCTCCTCCTGTACTGTATGACCTTCACAAGGTGGTCCCACCTATGGCTAAGAACGTCTACCCACTCATCCTGCCTCCTTTAACACTCTGCTCCACACTCCCTCTTCCTCTCAGTCCTCTCATCTGACCACCTCTGCGCCCCTAACCCTCACACTTATCCTCGGCCACGTCAAGGGCTTTTTAGCTATACCTCTGGCCCTCATATGCACTTTGTCTCCTCTGGCCTGGAAGCACCTCTGAGTAGAGACCTATCCTTTCCCTGGATCTCCTTGCAGAACACCCAGGACAAGGCTCAGGAGAGAATGAAGATGGAACCTCTGTACTGTATTTTTTTTTAATATATTTTATTGATTTTTTACAGAGAGGAAGGGAGAGAGGGGGGGGGGGGCAGGGCATTCTTTCTTGAGATAAAAATATCTAGATTTTCCCAGACAAGGATAAAGGAGTTCATCACAAAGGCCCACTGAGCCAAACCGGTTTCGGCTATACTGTATTATTTAAAAACTAATCAGATGCCAGCTTACTAGTACTCATTTTCAAATGTGTGTTAAGGACCCAGCAATTCTACTTCTGGGTATTTATTGGAAGAAACCCAAAACACTAATTCGAAAAGACACACACATTAACTGAAGCATTATTTACAATAGCCAAGATATGGAAGCAACCTAAGCGTCCATCGATTGACGAATGGATAAAGAAGATGTGGTACATATATACAATGGAATATTACTCAACTTTTAAAAAGAATGGAATCTTGCCATTTGCAACAACATGAATGGACCGAGAGGGCATTATGCTAAATAAATTAAGTCAGAGAGAAAGACAAATACCATAAGATTTTACTTCTATGTGGAATCTAAAACACTAAATGAACAAAACAGAAACAGACTCATAGACACAGAGAACATTTTTTTCTTTTAATCTTCACCCAAGGATATTTTTCCCATTGATTTTTAGACAGAGTGGAAGGGAAGGGGATAGACAGAAAAACATTGATGTGAGAGAGAGACATGGGTTGGTTGCCTCTTGCACTTGCCCTGACCAGGGCCAGGGATCGAGCCTGCAGCTGAGATACGTGCCCTTGGCTGGAACTGAACCCAGGACTGTTCAGTCTGAGGGCTGACAATCCAACCACTAAGCCAAACTGCCTAGGGCTACAGGAACGTTTTGATGGTTGCCAGATGAGAGGGAGTTTAGTTGAAAAAGGGGAAGGGATTAAGATGTACAAATTGCCAGTTAGAAAAACAGTGCCAGGCTGTAAAGTACAGCAGGGAATATGGTAAAAACTACGGATGGTGTCAGGTGGGTACTAGACTTAGCGGGATAATCACTTTGTAATTTATATAAATGTCTAATCATTATGTTGTACACCTGAAACTAATACAGTACTGTATGTCAACTGTAATTGAAAAATAAAAAAATGATTTTAAAAAATACACCTAGATTTACCAGCCACCTCCATCCCAACATCCTGGTGTTAGGGAAGCTGACTGCACTCCCAAGCTGTTATGGTTATTTTTCTTCTCTCCGCTCCTCAGCTTGCCTCGGAAACTATCCAAATCAAACAGTAAAACCCTCCATTCTCTTGACGTAAAGCTTTATACAGCAAAACCTGCCATTTATATTTTATATGTCATCATTCAAATTCTATTTCCTTGAAGTAGGTACCCTGAAATTGTTTTTGAGCTGACTGAAGACAAGAACTATAACTTCAGCACAGCACTACCCAGGGTTTTGTCGGTGTTTTTGCTGGGTCCACACAGTACAATCTGTGAAACCGAGTCAAGAACAGTCAGTCTCACCCTGGCTGATGTGGCTGAGCTGGTTGGAGTGTCGTTCCGCACATAAGGTTGCGGGTTCAATTCCCAGTTAGGGCACATATCCGGGTTGCAGGTTCAATCTCCGGGTGGGGCGTATACGGGAGGCAACTGATCAATGTTTCTCACATCAGCATTTTTCGCTCCCTTCTTCTCTCTCGCCCTTCCTCTCTCTCTAAAATCAATAAAAACATATCCTCTAGTGGACACAAAAGGGGATAAAAAAGAACAATTTCACTGCCCGTAGAGAGTTCACAGAGAGAAACCAAACAGACCTAGGAAATGAACTGAAATTGATTTCTAAAGCAGGTAAGGAAAAGGTGGTTATAGGCTATGCTAATAGCATAAAAGGCTGTAAGAAGAAACCAGCAAGAATTTCCTAGAGACATAGGCACGTAAAGGAACAGAAGCATGCAAGCTAGCAGACAGGATGAAAAAAACATTCTAGGTGCTTCAAACCGCTCAGCTGGTTTCTGTAAATGCTAAGTCATAACCACAAGAAAGGGGCTTAGATGACCAAGAGATGCTGGCTGACCTACACAGCCATGACACAAAGCGGTCAGGGGAAGGCTGGGAGGCCTAAAGATCACACTTCTAATGGGCAATGCGGGAGGAGGGTTGGGCTGGAGGCTGGTCTTACCTGCACTCGGGTTCGGATGACGTCCATGGGGTTGGTGAGGATGGAAGCCGTAGCTGCAGCCAGGGGCCCTGAGATGGCTTGAAAGACAATGTGAGGGCATTCCTTAGGACAGAGAGATGAGAGCTGCTCTGGAATGGAGGGAAAGACAGTTCCTTAAGACATGAGGTACCACTCTGTCTGCCCTCACACTGCTTCTACCACTTGGGCCAACGATGACAAACCTTCCATCCTTAGCCAGAACCGGTTTGGCTCAGTGGATAGAGCGTCGGCCTGCAGACTGAAAGGTCCCAGGTTCGATTCTGGTCAAGGGCATGTACCTGGGTTGCAGGCACATCCCCAGTAGGGGGCGTGTAGGAGGCAGCTGATCAATGTTTCTCTCTCATCGATGTTTCTAACTCTCTATCCCTCTCCCTTCCTCTCTGTAAAAAATCAATAAAATATATTAAAAACAAAAAAAAACAAAACCTTCCATCCTTAGCCACCTCAGAGCCCCCAATTCACATAACTCCCATCTTTATTTCTCTTTGCTTCCTTCTGAACCGACAAAAAATTAGAAATCTGAAGCTCCATCCAGAAGTCATCTTGGTTACATCTCGGGAGAGGGAAATTCCAAAACCTCTCTGCTTGCTGACTCCTTTCATCTGATGGACAGAAATCCTTCCTGTTATAACAATCTTATGCTTCTGCTCTGCTTCGCCCAACCCATAGGCTAGAAAAGCACACACTACACATTTTCTATTATATGCACTGAATAACTGGTTGGGTACATTAAAAGCTGGTAACACCGCCCAGCTAGCATGGGTTAGTGATTGAGCATCGACCGATGAACCAGGAGGTTACAGTCTGACTCCTGGTTAGGGCACATATCAGGATTGCAGGCTCAATCCCCAGTGTGGGTCATGCAGGAGGCAGCCAATCAATGATTCTCTCTTATCACTGATGTTTCTCTCTCTCCCTCTCCTTTCCTCTCTGAAATAAATTTAAAAAATATTTTTAAAAAACATTTTAAAAAATTGGTAACACTGATTGTCTTTAAAGCAGGGAGCTGTATGATTGTGGTGGATGGGGGCTTTTTCACAGTATACCCTTCTTTCCTACCTTTTCAATTTTTTAAGAAGTTTTAAAAAAATTGATTTTAGAGATGGAGGAAGAGAGAGGGAGAAAGAAACATCAATGTGAGAGATACATCAATCAGTTGCCTCTCGCACACGCCCCCAGGGATCGAACCCACAACTGCTGCATGTACCCTGACCTGGAATCAAAGCCTTGACCTTTTGGTACACAGGATAACACTCCAACCAACTGAGCCACACTGGCCAGGGCCCTACCTTTTGAATTTTGAATCATGTGTTTTTACAAACAACAAAATTACAATTAAAAGAGAAAGTCATATCCTACAGCCTATATTAAGAAACAAAAATTTATTTTTCAAAATGCTGATGAAGAAGACTGAATAATAGCCCTGGCTGGTATGCTCAGTGATTAGAATGTTGCCCGTGCACCTAAGAGTTGGAAAAATATCCTCAGGTAAGGATTAACAAACAAAACAAAAGAAGACTGAATAATACCCAGATTCACCCATTCCGAGTATCACTGAGAAGTTCACCTACAATTGAATTTTTTGCTTTACTCGCTCTAGAAGTGAAAGACAAGAGCTCATTAATTTATTCAACAAAAATGTATTGAATGGCTACCATGAACCAGTCCCCGTGGGTTCTGAGGATATACCAGTGAATAAAAGAGCCTCAAAATCCTTGCCCTTGTGACATTTACATTCTAACTACCTGAATAAACAAAAATCAAAATATATAGTTATGTCAGAAGGTGATATGTGCTAGCTAGATAAAAATAAAGCAGGGCCCTAACCGGTTTGGCTCAGTGGATAGAGCGTCGGCCTGCGGACTGAAGGGTCCCAGGTTCAATTCCGGTCAAGGGCATGTACCTTGGTTGCGGCACATCCCTAGTAGGGGGTGTGCAGGAGGCAGCTAATCGATGTTTCTCTCATCAATGTTTCTAACTCTCTATCTCCCTTCCTCTCTGTAAAAAATCAATAAAAATATTTTTTTTTAAAAAAAGGAGAAAAACAAATAGAAATGTGATAACATATCTAACTCCTGTATACCAGGGAGATACCCAGGAAAAAGGAGTAACTCCCCAAAATGGCCCACGCCATCGCCTCCTGGGTTGCAGGTTAGATCCCCATCCCCAGTTGGTTGCATTCAGGAGGTAACCAATCGATGTGTCTTCTCACATCTTCCTGCGGACTGAAGGGTCCCAGGTTCAATTCCGGTCAAGGGCATGTACCTTGGTTGCGGCACATCCCTAGTAGGGGGTGTGCAGGAGGCAGCTAATCGATGTTTCTCTCATCAATGTTTCTAACTCTCTATCTCCCTTCCTCTCTGTAAAAAATCAATAAAACATATCTTAAAAAAATAAATAAATAAAGCAGGAAAGGAGACAGGAAATGAACGCCAAAGGTAGGGTGTGAATGGGCTGCCATTTTAAACAAGGTGGTCATGAAAGCCCTCTTCAGAAGGTGAAGTTTGAGTGAAGTCCTAAAGAAGAGTGCAAGCTATAAGGCTCTGTTGTGGACAGAACTTTCCAAGCAGAAGTCACATCCTATGTAAGGGTCCTGAGACACCTTAAATCTTCAAAGGGCAGCAAGGCCCATATGCCTGGAGCAGAATGAGGGAGAGACCAGGATGAGGTCCAGGAGGGAAGTCATTTAGGACCTTGAAGCCATGGCAAGGACTTTGGCTTTTACTCTGACACTGGATGTAAAATAGATTTATCATCTTCAAAGATTCCCTCAGTTTTCTCTCTACAATTCAATCACCATAATACCTTTACATTTTTTTCTCATGCTCCTAGTTTGGGCATTTTGTAGCCAGGCAACTAAATATCAGGGGATAAGTAGGATGGTAGGGGTCAGCAGGGCAGAAGTGAGAGCTTCTAAGACCCAGCAGCGTGGCAGAATTCCTTAAGCCCTGCCAGAACCATCTCCCCTGATTTCCCATCACTTCCTTCCCCAGGGTCAGCATACAAATAGAAACAAAGTGAACTGGTGACTCCTCCTCATGGGTGTCCTGTTTCTCTTGACAAGAAAGCATTTCAGAACCATTAAAGGTAGCACCTGGGCTGGCATTGCCAGCCTCCGTGGGCCTGTCTGCACTAGCCCTCAGGCCTGTAAGCTGCAGTGAGATCCAGATGCCAATTCTAGACATGCATACATGCCATTTTCCTGGGGCTTAGGGAGAGATGGAAAAACAAAGGCCAGAGGGTAGGGGAAAGAGCCCCATGTCTTTCCTTCTCCATTATTCATTCAACAAGTGATGACTGGGCACCTATCATCTGACGTGGGTTAAGTCTCTCCTGGTTAAATAACTGGACATGTAATATAAATCGCTTTTGTTTATGCTTGCTAGACGCCAAGGACCGAGATAAGCACTAGACACAAAACAGAAATGGACAGGGAAATGCCTTTATGGACCTTACAGTCTAATTAAGAAGCTGGGGCCCTAACCGGTTTGGCTCAGTGGATAGAGCGTCGGCCTGCGGACTCAAGGGTCCCGGGTTCGATTTCAGTCAAGGGCATGTACCTTGGTTGCGGGCACATCCCCAGTAGGAAGTGTGCAGGAGGCAACTGATCGATGTTTCTCTCTCATTGATGTTTCTAACTCTCTATCCCTCCCCCTTCCTCTTTGTAAAAAATCAATAAAAATATATTTAAAAAAAAAAAAAGAAGAAGAAGCCGGGGTTGGAGAAATAAAAATATATTTTAAAAAAAGAAGAAGAAGAAGCAGCCGGGGTTGGAGGTAAAATAACTGCAAATTATCACAAGTGCTATTATAACAAATGCTCTGAAGGAAACAAGGTGCTGAAAAAGAAAACAGAAAGAAGCCTCTTTCTAGCTGGGTAGTTAAAGAAGTCCACTCTGCAAAGGTGGCATGGAAGCCAAGGCCTGAAGCATGAGAAAGACCCAGCCATACAAAGAACAGGGGAGAGGGTATTCCAGGCAGAAAGATTATTTGCAAGAGCTTTGAGGTGAGAACGGAGCTTGGTGTGTTAGAAACTGAGAGAAAGGCAGTGAAGATGGACCAGAGTGAGGAAGGGGAGAGTAGCACAAGATGGGGCTGAGGAGGCAGATAGGAGCCAGATCATGTACAGATCATGTAGACCAGTGTTGACCATGGGAAGCATTAGATTTTATTCTAAATGCCCACAAGTCAGCACTGGTAGATTTTAAGCAAAATGGGATAATGAGAACCAGTCTACTCAGTCAACAAATATTTACTGAGAACTGCAATTCACCAGAGTCTAAGAGACACAGTGGTCACAGAGCCTGGCACATGGTGGATAGTCAACAGATGTTCGTTTCCTCCCCCATCCAAGAACCTTTCCAGTGAATTATACATCAATATAGCTGGAAAATATGCATTAAAAATTAAAGAATCCACATTGTAGAAGAGATAAGGCACACACAGATAACATCAAAGAAAATGTAATAACAGCCTTAAGAAAGATTCAAGCAATATAATGGAGGTTGAAAGGAGGGAAAGGTCACTTCTGGGTTAAGGGCTACATGGAGAGGATGGGATAGGAGGCAATAAGGTGCACTTAAGCCATGATTCCACCCCGGTAAGTGTCCCGGGAAGGCAATGAAGCAGAGGTGTGATATGAACAAAGCAAAGGTAGGAGCGATGACACATGGTTGAGGAACTGTACTGTACGTAGCTGGCTGGTTGCAGCACAGACTATACACGGGAGCAGCACGTGGTTTCACTATAGAGGGAGGCAAAAGCCAGGCTGAAGTGTTTGGATTTTACTCAGCAAGCAGTGGCTCTACTGAACAACACAGAGTTTAAAAAGTTAATCCATTAGGAAGTGAGTGATAGATAGGAAGGAAGAGGCTTCTAGAGAACAGGCTGATGCTGCTGTCCAGGAAGGTGGTAACAGTGGCATGGTTTCC